CCAAGTTATACATAGTGCGTGGTCCGACGCGCCCCCGTCCGATTTTCTCCGTCCCTGATTGGCCGCCCGTGCGTGCTCCCGCTCCCGCCTCCGCGTGCCCGCAGTGGCCCGGTCGCGGTCGAGCTCCCTCTTCCCTTCCCTTCTGCGGCAGCCAGCCACCCCATTACTTCAAACTTTGCATGTAGGCCGTAGTGGATATGGAATACAACATATCCAAATTAAAAGCGATAATTCCACCGGGAAGGGGTTAAATTGTGGTGTCAAAGTCAATGAGTTGAGGTGCGATGTTTGATGGGGTAAGCCACCAACCCAACCAGACCCAACTATATATATATATTTTCACCCAGGCAACAGAGCGGTGCAAAGCGGTGCAAGATCAACAAAGTAAATAAAAATAGCAAAACATATAAGAAAACTGAAAGGCTTCATCCTGGAGTGATTTTAACCACAGAAAAACAAACATTCACACCAGATCAGATCTGTCAAGTTTCACACAAAGACACTGAATGAAGGAAATATATATATATTCAATGCACAAGACAGACCCAACATCGACATGGAACATCGATTATTTATCCACTGTGAATCATACCTCATTATCATATGCCGCCGGTGCAAGCACGCTGTGTGGCCAACAGAGATTGAACGGCATCTGAAAGGCAAGGCCCATCAGCTAAAGCATGCGGTGGTTCAGCAGATAAAGGAGAACATTGAACAGTGGGACAATGTGGCTCGAGATACTACACAGTTAACACTGCCCACATACTACACAGTTAACACTGCCCACAATACTGAATGAACCAATCCCGGAACTACCCATTCAAGATGGCTACAGGTGCCAGCGGGATCCCCAGTGTCAGTATGTGGCAGGGAACATGAACACCATGCGCAAGCACTGGCAGAACAAGCACAGCTGGTCGCCATATCCCAGAGGGAGCCGACCAGCGACACTCCATCAGCCCAGACCCCATGGATGAGCAGATGACTGAGGAAGAAGAAGAGGAGGAGGAGAAGGGACAGAGAGATACCCAGCCAGAAGAAGAAGATAAGTTCAAATCAACTAAGATCCAGATGGCATGTTTGGGATTTTTGAAATTGAGCTGCTGAACCAGCGGGTTCAGGTGGAGGATTATGAGTGCGCGCTGGTAGACGCCGTTGGGCGGTGCTGGGACGGGGGGAGTATGGATGGTGCGACGCGAAGAGCTTCCCACCAATATTGTCACGGATCAAGTAAGAAGATAAAGTTCAAATCAACCAGGATCCAGATGGCATGTTTGGATTTTTGAATTGAGCTGCTGGACCAACGGGTTCATGTGGAGGATTATGAGTGCGCGCTGGTATACGCGTTGGCGGTGCTATAACGGGGGGACTATGGATGGGTTGACTCTGATAGCTACCCGACGATATGGTCACGGATCATCAAGGTGGGGGGCTCATGTTACGATGTGCTCACCGACCAGGTCAACGTCGGGATCAAGACGCAAAAGGAATGTGAGCTGATAGGGGGGCCAAATCCATATGGTGATGCTGCTCGGCAGATTGCCAGCGGACGAGGATAAAAATCTGTGGGAACACATGCACTGCACGCGAGTCCTATATATTTTTTGTTCGGGGTAATGAATTGCAGTACGAAATCCGATGAGTCAGTGTGTTACCCATCGATTGAAAGGACTTAGTCCCATGGTTGCCATCGAATGGATTTCAAGCACCCCGGCTGTGCCGGGGTCTACCACGCCCCCCATGAAATGAACCGTG